CAAAATTCTTTTTTTCTGTTTAGTTATAATGCAATGTTTGTCGTTTTATCGACTTATAATGTAATCTGAAATTTGGTCTTGCTTGATTTTCATTTGAAAAACATAACGGATAGAATAATGTCAATAATTTATTATAATGAATTATAGTTGGTCAGATATTGATTATTACTGTTTAATCGTTTTTTTTAAATAAATACTGTTTAGTTATGTTTTGATAATTGTTGTTCAGTTCTTGATAATTAGTGTAATATTTATTACATAATCAGTCTTGATATTTCTTGTTTTTTGTAATTCTTGTTTATTATAGAGATTGTATTTTTCGATTGGTGTAGTTTAGTGGTTGACAGGTCCGAGGTTCGAGACCCGATGGCATTGAACAGCACCTAACAAAGATACAATTAATCCTGTTAGCCGGGTCAAAGGGTAATATAACGCCCTTGCTGAAGCGCCTGACTGGCTTCCTTTCCTCTAAGTAATTTAAAATTAACCACGGCTATACCTGAATCCTAGGAGGTCTCTGAGATGGTCGTTAGCTCACGTGCACATAAGGGTGCCGTCCACACTGAAAATTTAATTCACACTATAATTTCGAAATCACTTCTTAAATTCCTTATATATAGACAACAGAATGCCGAATATCATGCCATACACATAATAAAATTTGATAATATATCTGACACCATGCAGTTTTTTTGGTAGGTTAATGTAAAGTATAAATCTGATAATTAGACGTTCAGCATAAACTCAAACCTTCCGAAAATATCTGTAAGGAAAAACGACCAAAGCATTATAAAAGTTATTAAAAAGGTCGGATATTACCGAGTTATGGTTGGTTGCACATCATTCTAATGTGCAGCACATGACACACTGGGAGAAGAGACATGTTAGCTACTGGTTGAAGATTGTCTCATTGAATTGCTCCACATAATCCATATATTTATTTCTGTTATGCTGTTTAGACTGTAAGTAATAATACGGTATAACTGATGTTAATTCTTGTAATAATTTATCATGTTCAACGTATAAAAAAAAAAGAAAAAAAAAGACGGTTAATAAATTAAATATCATATTCAATATAATACTAGATAAAAGCGTAAGCCAATACTAAATCTGTAACATGGAGTGATAAGTGATGGCATCACTACACAGAGGTATGGGGGGAGCGTCCCCCTGAAAATATAGAATGACCAGAGAATACTGTGCTGATTCATGTGCGTTTCTAGCAATAAAAATAAATTATCTGAATTTATTAGTAGTAAGTTTTCCCATTTTAATTAACAAAAATTCTCTGAACTACAGCTTATAATTAGATTCTTTTCAGTAACTAAGGAAAATTAACTACGCTTATCGCCTTAAGATCTCCCCCCGTGACAAAATATCCAGCGACGCTAATGTTGATAAAGACAACTTTGGCTTACTCTTTAGGTCAATTGTTTATTACTTTGTATAAAACCTTTACTGAAATGTTCAATAAATTTGTCCCTCGTGTTTAGATGTTTTTATACGTATACTAGATTTTCTTTATTTAAAATAATATTTGTCGATTTCGAATTTTTTTGTTAAATATTTATTTTGTCTTCATAATGTTAAATTTTCTTGTAAAAAATTTTATCCATGAAAATTAATTATTGTACATTTAGAAAGAGTAGAGACAACGTACTGTCTATAAGCAAGTCAACATTAGGTCTTTAGGAATATTAAACGTATCTTTTTGTCAATGAATAAAAAGCATTATTTTATCAATGATCTGCATATACGAAAAATAAGATTGATGGTTTTTGATCTAACCAATTTACAACAGTTCTTACTCTTTACAGGTCGATAAAAGTAAACTTTAAACTATGTCTGAAAATATTTTTAAGTATCATTATTGATGCTAATGTAAATGATGTGTATTTCAATAAGCGCAGAGTTAAATAGTTACTTACAAATATGAAGGTGAGATGGCGCCACAATCGTGGATCTTCCAACACGGACAAAAATGTCGAAATCGGCTCTTTCGTGCAAAGTAATTTTGATTTCATGTATTCTTCTATTTTTGTGAATAAGATAGGGTGAGTATAGAAGTATACGATTCATACTGTCGTTTTTTTTACAAGTATAAGTTTAGTTTTTGGTTTTTGGAGAAATTAACTACCGTGACTATTTTTGCAAATAGCTTTTTATAATTAATACACACACACACACACACACACACACATCTTATTGTCTCCGTAGAGTGAAAGTAATTTTTAATGCTTTTATACTTTAAAAATCTCATACAAACAGTTTTTGTGATAGGTGCAATCATCAAACGTCCCACAACTAAATTATAACGTTAAAACGAATGTTGCCCCCCAGTGGCACGGCGGAATGTCTGCGGACTTGCAACACTAGAATCCGGGTTTCGATACCCGTAGTGGACAGAGCACAGATAGCCCATTGTGTAGCTTTGTGCTTAATTACAAACAAACAAAACGAATGTTTAGTAGTCCGTTTTTTGGTTTATTGTAAACTAACCTTCGCTCATCTGGGAAGCTGACAAACTTTGCTGAAGAATGAAAGCGATAGAAAATAAGTATGAAGTAATATGTCAGCTTTACTGTATCTGTTGTATCCAGTGCTGACGAGGCCTTTAGCCCAATACCATGGCTCATGAGACAGGCTGGGATACGACAGATATAGGAATGATGGAGACGCTACTTATATTGTCATCTATTTTCACAACAACCTTTTCGATTTTCTTTAAGTCCATACACATGAGAACGTGGAACAAGGTTAATAACGCTGGTAACGTATACTATACACGTGCTTTAAAAAAAAACCAAAACGACAGCCAATTTTTAGAAATCTGATGTATTTTATTTTCATAATTTAGAAACAAGTCGTTTTGCTAAGTGCTAGAATCTGTTATTTTTCTAAAGAATTTTCTAGCTCTGTCCCATCCATAATGTGCCTAATAGAAGATTTAAAATTGATAATGGTTTAAGCACAGAAGTATCAAGCCAGTAGCGTAATTACAGAAGATGGACTGCATAAAAAGTAATTGCGCCCCTACATTTATTACCCTATAATTGTAGTTATGATTCTATCCGACTGATACCATTAGCTCAACAGAATGGTACAACCGCCCTTTAGTTCAAACAAATTAAATTGTTTGTCTCTCCCCTTCTCGGCAATCCTTAAGTTTGTCAGGCCCTTCGGGCCCCTTTTGGCTCGCCCCCTCCATGCAATTGCAGGGGCTGCGGTGGCATACTTACGCCACTGTATCAAGCATAGCTTCTTTTAAACAAATAGATGGTTCATTTTGTAATGGGGCAGTTTTTAATCATTTTGAGATTTTATGGAGCCACATAAGTTGCTTTCACATTAATTATTTAGACAGAAATGACACGTGACATTTGGGAGGCGGCATGCATTAAAATAAAACTACGAAAACTCCCTCTAGGGGGCATCCTCTCTCTCCTTAGTCAATGCGGGAGTCTCTGCTTGAAAAACGTGTGTTTAGACCAAGTGCACGTGGCATGATTGTGCACGCCACACTCCAGCACTCGGACCTTCCTCGTTGGTTCGTCTTGGCTCGCTTAAAATGAGACCAATCACAACTTTCTTCCTCTGGCAGCAGATTGGCTGGATGCCAATGGCACGTGCTGCACGTGCAATACGTGTTAGCTTTGGTTTGCTAGATTATTGTTCACAGTTTGGAATAAACTAAAAGGTTCATGCACGTTAGACCGAGTGAAAATCCGATCTTTGGCATTCCAGCTCTGTGTAAATTTTAGCACGCGACTCTCGCTTGCAGACCAGACTCGTGCAAATACCTCATAACTGATGTTGGAAAGGTTTTGCTACCTTCTGATCAGTCCTATAAGCTAGTTTATATGAAATACGTCACTGCAGTATTAATCTAAATGCAGGGAAATAATAAATGAAGGATCTAAGTATTACAAACTTTAAAAAATGGAAAGCGAAGATCTAAACGTGGATACAGCAAAGCAGGAAGGCAAACGTGTGAGTAAACAATATTTATTTTAAACAAAAATGTGGGTTCCTTAGCGCTAAGAACGAGTCTTTTTTCTTTCAGATACTGTTACTGATTTTTCGTCACTGTCACTTTCTAGATCCGTAAAAACTCCCATTTCACCAACTGTATTGTTACGAAAGCTGAGCTTAACCACTATTTGTTGTACCTAACATATGACAAAATGTAGGGGTAAAACTAAACCGAATTTCCTGAATGGTTTAAAGTTTCGACGCTCGTATCAAAAACTAAGCCATTTTCAAACTGTCTTGTCTCTTATTATCTGTATGCGCGTATTCCGTGATAACATCTGTTTTATGTTATTTCGTATTAATATTGTCGAATTATTTATGAGGCCCAATTTATTCTACTATTCTTTATTTCTTTAATATGGAATAAATAAAGGGTCTTTCGCAGCTTTTAGGCTTAGCAGGTCACTATGTTTAGATATAGTCTTCAAAGTTGTCACTATATCTTGGAACAAGTAATAAACTCTTCTGGAATAATGATGTTTAAGATATTTTTCTCTCTAGAATGTCGTTATTATCTTGAATACAAAAACTGCATTATTAGCGCATTACAAAACAACGTCAGCAAGGAATCCCATTGAGATTGACTTCTTCGACGTGATTTAATCAAATTTCTTAGTGTGTTTTTACTTGAAATGATTTCCTTAACTTTATAGATTGCTTTTAACCACCTGCAGACCTGTATATATGCAATTTGTTTTATAAAATGTCAGCCACGATAGGAAGGTCACTTCGTTAATAAGTGAACAAAAGAACTCTGACGTGAATAGAGTACATTAAAAAAATTGTTCCATTATTTTGTTGAATTATCTGCACCATTCTCGGGCTATTCTTGTCAGACCAAATAGTGGGATTTGACTGCCACTTTTATAACACATCCACGGCTCCACGGGACGCGAATCACGGAACTTCAGATTCATAGTCCGAAGCTCTGTGACTTGTGAATTTATTTGAGATTATTTATAAATGTTTTGCCTTAAAGAAATTTCAGCGGTGTTAATATCTCTCTTATCAGTTTTAATCGACTGTCAAAACTATAGCGGAAAAATTGTTAAACCAGTTCTAACTTTAAGAAACAAAAATCGAAATAGCTCAGTATGCATCATACACTTTTTTATATTCTTTAATTTATGGATTAAGATAATGGAATTCTAAACAATGAACCTTTATTTTTCATCATCATTATTTCAACGTGTACTCAGTAATAAAATAAAAGTCATTACATTTCTTATAAGTAATTTATAGCTCCAATTAAACACCCCGGGTGCTTAAATAATTCTAAAAGGGGAAGGGTCGCTAATAAAGAAACAATTCTTACATTTTAAAAGTTTTCCTCAATAATCGCTGCTATTATTCATCAAACACAACGTTTAGTTTATAATACCGTCATTCTCGTGTCGTGGGTCGATTAGAAATTCCAGGTCGGATAACGTTTTCAGCGCAGCAGGCAATTATAGAGAAATTGAAAAACCTTAATTTAGGTAAGTCAGGTATTTTTGTCATCAAAATACTGACAGTGAAAGATGATAAGAGGGCGCTTAATTATTTTTGTTTTTGAAATCACCCAGTGGGAGCTTATAGGGGCAGAGTCATTTAAAGGGAGGAATAAGGTATATGTTGATATGTACATTTTAATATCATATTCTAATATGAAAGTATGTGCTACTTCACCTGGTGGATTTATTGATAACTAATAATGGCTTAGTTTGTTTCGTTTTTAAATAAAATAAAACAATACTTTGCGTTGATACGAACACTAAAAATTGTCTTCTGTTATGCCAGATACTCGTTCTGTATTCTGATAACAAAGTGCGCATGCTACTCAACCTGGTGGGGTTATTGATAACTAATAATAATTTTGTCCTAAGTTATATGAAACTTTTTTTTTAAAGATATCTGTATTAGTATCTCATTAATTGGAGTTTCCATACCTTTATTAGTGAACAAACACGAACACCCCTGAAGGAGGAAACCGGTTGGGTTATCGGTTACCCTTAATTTTGTTTTACCTATTTTTTTCTTCATTCTACGTAGTATCAAGCATCCTTAACGAGTTTTACAGTAAAAAAAAATATATTTTTAGTTCATATAGTAATTGTATTATACAACAGGCAATAAAGGTTCAAAAAAATTAATGTAAAACCATTTTTATTTATGAATAATTTTCTCTAAGCAGTTTAACTGTGTATGAAAAGTAACGATAGGAAGAAATACAGAATATAAATGTCTTTGTGTTTAATAAGAAAAAAACCCAACAAAGTGAAAGACATAGATGGGTATTTTAAATAAAACCAAAGCTACACGATGGATTTTCTGTGCTCTTCTCACCACGGGTATTAAAACCTATTATTTACCATTATAAGCCCATTGAACAGTGGGGTATTTCTTTTACATCATTATTATACTAAGGTGCCTTTTTATTTCTTTTTAAGTACAAAGTTACATAATGGGCTATTCTATGCTGTGCCCACCACGGGTATCGAAACCCGTTTTTCAGCTTTATAAGTCCGCAGAATTACCAACGAGGGAGTGAGGAGGGGGCTGAGGTTTTGTTTCGTGACTGGTTTACAAATTTGTTCATACATTTTATTTTTTTTAAACTAGATAAATGTATGTATCGATGTGTAATTTATAATTTTTTGTTGTACTTTTTCATCTAATTCAACACCACCAGATGGCCGTTGTTGTTAAAATCATATTGCTTACTTTGTCAAAATTGTTACCTATTGTTTCAGTAAGAAACCATTGCTCTATCCGTATCTTAAAAAAAAAAAACTGTTAACTGCTGTTCATTAGATAGGGCATCTGACAGGGAAAACGGGACGATCAGATCAAAGAAACACGTGATAAAAACAACAACACATAACTATGCAAACTAACTGTTCATTATCGTGAACAAAGAGTGACCTTGTTTCAGAATTTAAAAAGATCCAAAGAAAAATCGATTCAGGAAATATCTAAATGTCAGTTATGTTTAGGTAGAGACGCACAAATTAACTTGTGCTCTTGAATGACAAGAAAAAAAAAGGGCGTAAACCATGCTTAAGCAAGAATTTATTTTTCATAAATACTTTGTCTAACTGTTGGAAGAATGAAAATATCATACCGGAAACTTAGGAAACTTAGCTTATTTACGCTGTGCCCACGGCAGGGATAAAACTTCGAATTTTAGCGTTATAAGCCCTCGTGCTTACTACTGAACCAGCAGTGGGAGGGGGGTCAACATTGAATAAAAAGAAAATATTCATGTTAAATGTTATATTAAAAAGAAAATTAATATTAATTTTTAGTTTAGAAAAAAATACAAAAAACATTGCCTTGATAAATATTGAAATTTTCTAAATTTGAGCTTGTTATGTAGGACATTTTTTTCAAGTATTTACCGATAACGTTCAGTGAAACAAGTCTAAATTCTTTGTACGTTTGGTTTGATGCAATATGTGTATTTAAACATTGAACAATCAAGGGGGGAGGGCATTCAAACTTATCTGTGGCAGTGAAAAAGTAAGGGAATCAATGATCTCCTGCTTAACCCCACTTGCAGTTCCTTGGCCATTGAAATAAGTGTAAGTTATGGAAGTTAATCTGACCCTTCCAGTCTGGTACTTAGGTCACACAGTACGAAACCCTTCCAGTCTGGTACTTGGGTCACACAGTACGAAACCCTTCCAGTCTGGTACTTGGGTCACACAGTACGAAACCCTTCCA